GATTTTAACAACTCTGAGCTATTAGTTAAGTTCTCCCCAAGCGAGCTCGATGGGCCGAATGGCCTCCTCTCGTTTGTATAGTTCTTATGTTCTTATGTTCTTATTTTAAAATCATGGTTTAATTGTGGTTCTGCTGGCAGAGGCTACGCTGAGCAGCAAGATGCTTTCAGGTTCAAAATTTCTAAGACAGCAGTACATAAGAATAAGGTGAAGCAGGAGACACTGGAAACGACCAGAAACCAGCCAGGTGAAAGGTGGAGGTGACATTCTAATGCCAGAAATGACCGTGAACTTATCCGACAGTTTCTCATGAATGACATGAATAACATCAGGTGACCTTCAAAAGGAACAGGAAACATTAAGTGCAGGTGTGAAGTGCTCTGCTAAGACAGTTTGTATCAGGCTCCTAGGAGCACGACTGAAGTCCCATAGAACAAAGAAGAAGCCCTTCATTAATGAGAAACAGGGAAGAGCCAGGCTACAGTTTGCAGAAAAATATTTATTATTCACAGACAAACACCCATAAATTAAGACATGAGTTAAGCAAAAAATTGTGCTGTGATCTCTTTTCTGTGGCTGTATATTAAAGTTTTGATGTCTTAATTATTCTAAACTGAAGAAACGTAGTACAAATATACCTTTCACTTGGTTTGTTGGTCCAGATCTTTGATTGGTCATGTATATGGCCACATTGACAATAGTAACCTGTTAATTTTCTGTGCTCTTCATTGTACAGATAAGGGTAACTTCAGTGTAATTTATAATCTTCGTGGTATATTTTAGGATGTACTGTATTTGTACTTATGAATACTTGCTGGGAAGGGTCACTTGTGTAGTTTGGTTAATCAGTAACACCGAATGAAGATTGATTAGATGCTGAAAAATGAGTGTCAAAAATATGCAGATTTACTTGGCAACTGATGATGAATTTCAGATTCAGCATTGCGGCCATTCAGGAATCACTCAGAGTGTGCATTAATGAAAGGCCCTTAGAATAAAGTACATTTTTATTAAGAAAACGACTGGGTTCTCGTGAAGGGGGACCATATATGGTTGGACCTCAAGACAGAACGGGAGTTTGACGTTCCCCTCGGTGCTGTGGTCAAGCTGTGTAATTCTGGCCAGATCCATGTTCTGGATGACGAAGGAAACGTGAGTCTGGACATTGGTTCTTCTAGCTGACTAATGAGGTCTCTCTAATTAGCAGTAACCTACATCTCTATAGTCAGATCAGAATGCATACCAGCAAAAATAGTGTTTTAGTACATGACCAGTTCATTCTGACATTGGTAATGAATGATCGGTAATGCTATACATTAGCTATGCCTTCATAATGCCTTAATTATGCATTCGTAGAACATTATGTGCACCTTCATAATACATTTATAAAAAAATCATAAGCAACATGTAAATACACTAATAATTATATGATTATAATGTTTCTTTTTAATGTGTATAAAAGCTGTTATGGTACGTGAGGATGCTAAGGTATACAGTACATACATTGTGATGGTATGTTAAATGTATGTATTTTTTGTCTTCAAATCTTTTTTATGTTGCAATTAGAACTGCTCTAATGCACAGAAAATTTCAGACTCATGTCTGACATCATATCATATATCATGTCAGAGAGATAGATATCCCGCTTCTTTCAAAAAGATTTATGACCTAAAGGTCAAAAAGGTCACGGGTCAAAAGTTCACTGGGTGAACTTATTTATTTATTATCATTATTATTTATTTATTTATTTTTATTATTATTTTAATTATTTATTTTATTTTTATTATTTTTATTTTATTTTGAGGAGAGTGAATTGTGTGCTTATGAGTGGGGTTTGTCGGAATCCCGCTCAGCCCTGCACTCAGCCAGCACCCTCATAGCACGGGGCTGAGCGGGTCGGTTACCTGATGGAGTGTGAGCATAGGCTGGGTCTGCCTGTGGAGCGGTACCTTGGGAAGGTCCCGGTTGGTCCGGGGGAGCGTGTAAATGTTGTACTTGGGCATAGCGCAAAGGACTCGGAGAGAGCGATGCTGGAGCTTATCCCGGTGCTGCGCGAGACTGAAAGAAACTCTGAGAGAATGAGAAAGTTGGAGCTAAGAATGAGAGGAGCAGGAGGTGGGGGTCTGACGCTATCGTCCAATGAACGCTTAGCAGCAGCAGCAGCAGATTGGCCGTGTGTGTGTGTGTGTGTGTGTGAAAGCTGACACCCCCCTGCAGCAGCAGTTTGCCAGTGTGTGTGTGTGTGTAGTAGGGTTTTTTTTTTCCTCAAACTTGTTTCAAGTTAGGGTTTTTCTCATGCACCTGATATGTACATCCCGGTAGGTCATCTGTAATAATTTGGGCCACACATCAAATTGGACATTTTGTCTTACAGTATATAACAGTATATAAACATCTTAAATCAGGCGCATGGATGCCTTAAGTATAGGCCGTGGGGTAACCTTGTAGGAAAACCATTCACTGAAAAGGCGTCTTTATTAAAAATAACTAAGGCTTTATTCTTTAAAGTTTTTAATGTGTTTTAATGTGACTGCTAAATGCAGTTTACAAGTTCCTACTGTTATAAAATAAAATGCTATTAACCAGGTGCACTCGAAGTTACAGCTTTTTATGCTTCAGCTAAAAAACAATTTTGGAAAAGTCAGCATATAATGAATGGAAAGAATGGTTACAGATTTGTTGATACAGAAAATGCTGCTGGATCGTTCTTTCACTGCGGAGACATTCTCTTGCGATGGACCTGACCCTACACTGGGTACATGGGGACCATTGCTGAAGTAAGGATCTAATGCGTAGGTGTCGAGTCTCACGGTTAAAAGCCCCAGTCCCCGTGTGGCTCAGGGTTCAAAAGCTGCTAAAGATTGGTAGATTCCATGAGAGGTACCCCTTTAAATACGCTTTATTCCCACCACCCCACAAAAATGAGTACATTTTAAAAACATGACCGTGCTGCATACATATAACAAAATGTATGTACAACTTTTATTTTGAATAATAAAACACCTGTACATGTTACATTTTAAAACTCATTTGATAAATGTACACAAACATTTTTGTACAAGTTTGAAAAATAAAACACGTATACATGTTACATTTTAAAACCCTTGTGCAACTTTGAAAATAAAAAACTTCATGTTACATTAACAAAATCTCCTTTGATAAAAAGCCTACAAAATTTGTACAACTTTGTTTTTGTAAAATAAAAGAGATTTCATGTTAGATTTCAAAACTGATTTGCAAAATGAATGCATAAAACTTTGTACGAACAGGCTTGCGCTGCATACACGTAACAAAACGTTTTCGTATAACGCGTCTGGAAAATAAAACACCAGAACATCTTACATTTTAAAACATCTGTACATCTTACTTTGAAAAACTTTAATGTTACATTTTAAAACATCTGTACATCTTTCATGTTACATTTGAAAACATCTGTACATCTTACTTCGAAAAACTTTAATGTTACATTTTAAAACATCTGTACATCTTACTTTGAAAAAACTTTCATGTTACATTAACAAATTCATTTGACGAAATATTTTTAAAGATGTACAACACCCTTTTGCGATGCTGCTAGTTTTACATTTCAGCACCCAAAAGGCAGAGTTTCTCCACTAGTCAACAATCTGCGTTTGTCGTAGACGTCCCTGACATTTTTATCGAGGTCTATTAAACAGGTGAAACGTTTTCACGTCGCGTTTGATTTTGTTATAGTGCGTCATTATAGGGAATTATCCCGCTGCCTTTCATTTAACACGCTTAACCTTTGGCCTATGTTAGCTTTCTGTTCCTGTCTCTTATGTTAGACGGGTCGGTGCCAAGCAGCACGTGTCTTACATCAGCCATAAGATACCCTCAAAACAATTATTTATCATCCAATTTCTTTCTTACCTCTTGGTTACCTTGTTAGGCTTCCTTATCCATGAAAAGAATTTTTAAATATTTTTGGTGTGGCTTTCTGGACCTTTCTTTTGACAGCATTCCTCTCGTTTTCAATAAAAATAATAATGGTAAAATAAACCTCGAGTGAATTATATACATAAACTGAACTGGTCTTATCTTACCTTACATGTATGGGCATGCCTTACCTTGATTTTGTTTTAATTTATTTCGTTTAAATAGAGATTCCTGACACAGTCAAAAAGCTTTGATGCAGTATATATTTAGAAAAAAGGGTTCTTGGGGGGTGCTATATAGAACTATAGGGGTTCTCACCAGAGTAAATAGAACCATTGCCTTCAAAAAGGTGCTATTTCTTTTAATTGAACCCTCTATAATGGTTCTATATAGAACCTTTGAGGGTGTCATATATGTACCAAGCTATAGAACCCTTAAAGGTTCAGTATGGAGCCTTTTGTTTTAAGAGTGTGCATAAATATATGTGCTGCTTTTATGCATTTTTAAACTTAAAAACAGGTCGGTGCCGACCCTAACAGCACAGGAAGGTTAATAATGTCTCTAAGGACAGTAGGAAACAGGGGTCTTTGACCCTCGCTTCACTAGACGCAGCGTGTGGCGAGTTTTGTTGAGCGAGGTAGTTTTGATAAACCGCAGCATTTTCATTATTAGCGTTGTTGATGTTGTCTATTTCATCGAATAAGGCTTCGGGTATATGAGGGGGTGTTGCTCTGTCCTTACCTGCTGATTCAGGTCTTTCGTAGATTTTCTCTTGACCGGTCGGCGCCGTCTCTCGTAGAAAAAAAACTGAGAATACCTATTATTAGAATAAGTTATTTGAATGTATAGCGTTTATCATAAAACATGTATAAAAGAAATAATATACTCACTCTATGCAAGTGCCGTGTAGTTTTCTTTTTCTAGTGGGGTAAGGCCGTAGATGATACTTGGGGGTACTTGTGCTTCTTTACCAAAGGAGGAAAACCCGCTCGACGTAATAAAAATATCTGCGGATGGTTTTTTCTTAGGATTCTTTAAGGAGAAATATAGAGCCTGTCAAGTTTTTTAGGATTATCTTCTTTTCTTAATTAAGTCTTTTTGATGTACATTGCTGTGTTTTTCTTTTAACTCATATTTGTAGTTGTGACGATGCGATCGACCCGGGGATGTACATAATGGGCGTATCGCAAAAACCAAAACTTCAAACAAAACTTACTGTAAGACAAAATGTCCAATTTGATGTGTGGCCCAATTACAGTTTGACCCGGATGACCTACCGGGATGTACATATCAGGTGCATGAGAAAAACCCTAACTTGAAACAAGTTTGAGGAAAAAAAAAAACCCTACCACGCACACACACACACACACACACACACACACACACACTGGCAAACTGCTGCTGCAGGGGGGTGTCAGCTTTCACACACACACACAGACACAGGGCCAATCTGCTGCTGCTGCTGCTAAGTGTTCATTGGACGATAGCGTCAGACCCATTTTCCCAGACCCACCTCCTCTCATTCTTAGCTCCAACTTTCTCATTCTCTCAGAGTTTCTTTCAGTCTCGCGCAGCACCGGGATAAGCTCCAGCATCGCTCTCTCCGAGTCCTTTGCGCTATGCCCAAGTACAACATTTACACGCTCCGCCGGACCAACCGGGACCTTCCCAAGGTACCGCTCCACTGGCAGACCCAGCCTACGCTCACACTCCATCAGGTAACCGACCCACTCAGCCCCGCGCTCAGCCAGCACCCTCATAGCACGGGGCTATTCCGACAAACCCCACTCATAAGCACACAATTCACTCTCCTCAAAATAAAATAAAAATCACAAAAAATAATTTAAAAATAAATAAATAATGAAAATAATAATGAAATAAATAATTAAATAATAATAATACAAATAATAAATCAATAATTAAAAAATATTAAGAATATAAATAAATAAATAATAATAATAATAATAAAAAAACACCCCCTCTCCCAACGTCACTAGTCGTGACGTCACATGGTACCATCCTAACCACGCCCCAACCCAGCCCACCCAATGAACTTTTGACCCGTGACCTTTTTGACCTTTAGGTCATAAATCTTTTTGAAAGAAGCGGCATTATCTACTGTATCTCTCTCATGTCATGTCACGTCATATTAAGGCTGTATGCTTCATGCTGCTTATAAATGCTCTGTGATTGCATTATGAAGGTACCCTGAATGTTCTATGAATGCATAATGAATGCTTTATGAAGGTGCACTGAATATTAAATCCACGCATAATGAGTGAATTATGAAGGTGCAGCTAATGTAAAGCATTACTGAATGATCTTGTGCCATGACTGAAGCTGTTTCTTGTTTGCATTTCATTCTGAAAATTGGACACCTGCCATTTTGGATTATTGAGTCCCCATTCTCACACTAGGAGCACTGGCTCTCATCTCTGAATGCCACCAACATCAAGCCTATGCACCCCACCTCAGTGCACGGGGTGGCCGACATGATCTGCCTGGGGGACCTGAATGAGGCTGGCATCCTCCGGAACCTTCTCATCCGCTACCGTGAGCACCTCATCTACGTGAGTTCATAGCCTCCTCTCACTGCCCTATAATTACAGCATTGTTTTAGAAAATGAGCCAATCAGAAATTAAACTCCTCTGATGCTGAAAAACTTCTGGTAAACATGCCATGATGAAACCTGTAAATAATTAAGATGGATATTCCCTCACAATACAAGGTCCTATGCAACATCAAATTAAATGTGTCATCTAGAAATTCACCAAACTGGATAATGTGTCAAGAAATTATTTCACCAATTTCTTTTTCGTTTTGTGTTGTTTCACTTAATATCCCTTTGGATTAATAAAACAGATCAGGTGCCTTCTCATGATATTTCATAATTTTTTGTATTAAAGTTTTACAGTACAGAACTCCCGGTCTAAATTTTTCACTCATAATTTCAAACATAGGATTAAAAGGGGCCGGGCGGTCCATTAACTAATGAGTGCTGGTGTACTGAATAAAACTGGAGAGGGATGTGTCAAATCCACATTCCCCCATAAAAGGATAGCCTTCATATTACATAATAAAGTCCTGATTAATGCATTTTTAGTATCCATTGTAGCTTATACAGGACAGTTCAAAGTTTTTATCAGATGAGAAGCCACAATAATACTCTGGATCAATTATGAGATCCCAAACTCCCATGTTAGCACCATTACTCCACCATTACTCCATCATTACACCACCATTACTCCACCATTACTCCACCATTACTCCACCATTACTCCATCATTACACCACCATTACTCCACCATTACACCAGAGCATTATATTTTGAGAATCAGTTAATATACTTATTGATCTCTGTCACCAACACAAGACACCAGAAGGGTAAAATCAATGGCTAATGGCTAAATGGCTACTTGATAGGCCACAACAGCAGTAGGGTATCACATGCCATTGCTCAAACTTCAGACACCACTGTTTAACAATTCTGTTGAAAAGGGCATCTAGGTCTTTGTCTGCTTCAGTCCTTCATTTCGATGACAGTGATGTAAATATCATGTAACCATAGTCCATGTGCTGATAACAGCAGCCTCCCCTTTATTATCAGGCGTAGAGATGCAAAGATAGCACAGACTGTTGTACTCCAGCCCTCGGGGACCTGCTGTTGTTTGGAACTCAGGCTCTGCCTTTCTTTAAATTATTAATAACGGGCTCTGTTTTCAAAAAATGATTAAGTCCGAGACTGAGTGAGGAAGGAGAGGTGACAGCATGTATACCCCTAAGGGTGATTTCTTTGTTGTGTCTTTCTGAGGTCTGCATTGGATAGATCTAGATGAGCTTCCTGAGTTACCAGTGGTTTAATTCAGGATGTTGTCCAGACAGAGATTAGATATATCAGTTCACATAGACTGATCAGGGGTGGCATGGTGGTGCAATGGTTAGCACTGCTGGATCACACCTCCGCGACCCAGGTTTGTGTGTGTGTGGAGTTTACATGTTCTTTCCATGTTGTCAAAGGGTTTTTTCTGGGTTCTCTGGTTTCCCCTCACAGTCCAAAAACATGCTGAGGCTCATTGGAGTTACCAAATTGTCTGTATGTGTGAATGGTGAGTGTAGTGTATTAAAAAGGGTTTAACGGAGCGCTACAGCACCCCCACGGAGGAATGGTTAGCGCGGTGAGCTAAAAAGAAACGGGAGACAAGAAGTGTTTCGTGTGCTGTTCAGTCTGTTAATAAATATCGTCTTCTTTGTATTACGAGTTTCTGCGAGTCCTTAAATTTCTCTCTTCCTCAATCCCGGATGATGATGCAGCCGCTCGAACACTACAGTGAGCGTGCCCTGTGATGGGCTGGTGCCCCATCTTGGGTTGTTTTGGGCCCTGTGCCCACAGACTCTGGACCCCCCTGTGACCCAGAATAGGGGAAGTGGTTATGGAATGGATGGGTGGAGAGTTTGATCGGTACTGTGTGGTATAAGCAGAGGCTGCTGATTGGGTCACCCAGAGCTGTTCTGCAGCACCAAGCTTAACAGTATTTGCATAGTTAAACCAGATTATTTTCTGCACAATACACTTTTGTCCTGGCAAATGCTCTTTTAGTCATTTCAGTCATCACCCACTTTAATGTGAGGAATTCCAACTTCATTGAGCTGTACATAAATATGCTTCTAGTCAAAGACTGCAACTGGCATAGACTTTAAATCACAGTTATTGGTGTCCTTTAGAATGAACTCTCTGCATGTACTGTAACAACTGGGATTGTTTACTAAATTGGGATGATGAGAGATATTGGCAAGTAATAATACCTGAGCAAACAAACCACAGTCTTTGGGAATAACTCCTGTAGTTCAAAGCATTGTGCTACAAATGGAAAACTGGTTGAAATCCCAAGTCACACTCATCAATTGTAACATGTCACTCTTTTGTGAGTTGCTTTGGAAAATGCTGTCAGATATATAAGTTTCATGAAAATGTGCAATTTACCATTGATGATGCACAATAGTTGATATTTAGCTAAAGGTTTCTGTATCGGTCACATTTTTTTTCTTCCCAGTACAAATTACATTTCGTATTTGACTCCTGTTAAAAGTTTACTTTGAGAAGAATCCCTGAACTGCAGAGATAAAAATACATAACCCACATGTAGCAGTAGATATTGATACGAATGCCAAGCATACTATTCGTCACGCACTGAACAGTATAGCCGAAATGGCATTCACTTAATCTTAAAAAGGCCAAATGAAGTACAAACTGCTGTCTTATCAACCACTCGAACCTAATCGTGGCATATGACTAACCAGTACCAGCACCTGATAGCGCAGCAGCTTCTCATCTCAGGGTGGGGGAAAAATATCCTTTCCGGTTTTACTGTTTATCTGTACCCCACCTATGCAGAGAGAGCTCTGTCTTTCTTCTGTACCAGCAAGTCCCATTAAAGCTTGTTTCAGTGACAGGTGATTGTATATTTTTACTGGTGAAGCACTGCATCATTTAATATAGGGACTTCATGAGACCTTCCTTCACTGTGCAGAAAGTACAAGCCGTATATCACTGCATCATGAACCTCATCTACAGAACCTCTGAGATTATGTTCAGATTTGTGTGGGTACAGCTATATCATGCCTCTGTTATATGCAATACTGGAAATAGTGTTCCATATAAATACTTTTGAAGCACAATATGTCAAACTATATAAATTGCTGAATTGCCTGAAGTTTGTCTGGGTGCCTTATTTCCATAAAAACAGAATGTCATTCAAATATTTCTTTGACTGAAGCTTCTGTATTTTGTCTTTTTTCCCCTCCTGTGCCTGACCTTTCACCTTTGACCCAGCAGACCTACACAGGGTCGATCTTGGTGGCAGTGAACCCCTACCAGCTGCTGCCCATCTACACGGCAGATCACATCCGCCTCTATACCAGAAAGAAGGTGGGCGAGATGCCACCCCATATTTTTGCCATCGCCGACAACTGCTACTTCAGCATGCGACGCAGTGCCAAGGACCAGTGCTGTGTCATCAGGTGCCGAGTCTTCTCTGGGGAATTGGATGGATAGCAAACACTCAGCCAGCCACTGAGATACAAATAAGCCAACGACTGAGCAAACAACAGACACATTAAACCTACAGCTAAAACTTGACAAGCACATGCAAACAAGATTCAATTATTTGAAATTTTAACAATTATTTTATGCTTATGTTTCTTTTACCGGTGTGATGCTGCGTAATGGTTTGTATTGAAGAGTGAGTTTTCATTGTCATCTTTTGTTATGCTGTGTTGTTGTCTGTTATGATATGGTTATGTGTTGACATTTATTCGCCAGTGGGGAATCTGGAGCTGGAAAGACTGAGAGCACCAAGCTTATCCTACAGTTCCTGGCGTCCATCAGCGGGCAGCACTCATGGATTGAGAAGCAAGTTCTGGAGGCCACGCCCATCCTTGAAGGTCAGGAGCAGACAGCTCTGCTTTCTACAGGCTGCCCAAAAACGCCAAACAGCACCCTGGTATTGCTTGCTGATCTGTATCACACAACATGATGGGGACATGTGACTTTGACATAGGGCTGGGCGATATCATATCAATATATCATTCAAGCGCAAAAATCACCAGGGCTTCAGATGACGGGCGAAACAACATTTGGCCGGATGCCAGCTTTTCGGTACCATACGGATGTTTTTTTATGCCCATAATTTGGTAAGAAGATTAGTAATATGGATAAAATATTAATGATACCGTATGTGTTTTGTGACACCCAAAAGTACTGAGAGGCTGGCGTCATATACTCTCATCTCAGCAACTCAGTAGTTATAAATCATCTATCAAATGATAGTACTGTTACATGTGTTATGACTAATCCCTGCTGTGTTGTTTTGTTGCAAAAGTATGTTTACTGTATGTCTTTCACTTGCTGCAGCTTTTGGCAACGCCAAGACTATTCGCAATGACAACTCAAGCCGCTTCGGAAAATACATTGACATTCACTTCAATATCAGAGGGGCGATTGAAGGGGCCAGGATTGAGCAATACTTGTTAGAGAAGTCCAGAGTCTGTAGACAGGTCTGTAGACATGTGGATGCCACTCTTACTTAATGACACAGGTATATAATTAAGCATTTAGCTATGAAATCTCCAGCAACAAACACTGTCAATAGAATGGGTGGTCTTATGGAAGAGGTTAGTGACTTTCAACTTGGTACCACAATAGGATGCCATCTTTCCAAATACTTAGCTCACCTGAAAGAGATGCCCTGGTCAAGTGCAATGAAGTGGAAAATGTTGGGGGGCAAGTTCAGTTATGAAGTGATATTCCCCACAAGCTCACAGACAGGGACCTGATCACCCAGCATCAATACCCAACCTGAATGGCAGCAAATCCCACCCACAATGTTCTAACATCTAATGGAAAGCCTTCCCAGAAAAGCAGAAGTTATTATAACAACAAAGGGTGGACTAAGAGTTACACAAGTTTATGACAACGTACTTTTACCTAAACGATGTACCTAATGTTTTATGTAGTAATGTACAATCAGTACTGTACAAATGGATTGCATTACATCAATGGACTGATCTTTGATATTCTCCCATACCCAGACTCAAGATGAGAGAAACTATCACATCTTTTACTGCATGCTGCAGGGCATGTCCCCTGACATGAAGAAGAAGCTGTATCTTGGCAACGCTGTAGATTATGACTACCTCACCATGGTGAGAAACATGTTTCTGCAGCTACTTCCTACATCCATTCCAACTGCCTTTGCAATGACACGGTAACCAAAAGTAACCTTATTGTTACTGAATAATTATTTCTTGGTATCACAATGGTTTGTTCGCAAAAATCTTGCCGTCACTGTGACTGACAAATTCTGCCCATCTCCGCATTTCCTGATTCAGGCTGTGATTTGACAGCTTGACTCTAGCATCTCCAGATTGAACTACATGCTTGTCTCATTAGCTTTACTCCATCTCACGCAGAACTTAATTACACATCATGCTAAAGACCTAACTCCTGTCTCGACATAAAAACCTTAGTACTTGGTACCTTGGTACTGTTGCCAAGAAACCTGTATCATCGTACCATATGAGACACCTGAATGTCTCCTGTTCAAAAGAAATCACAATGATTATTTGTTTTTTGGTATTTGAAAGAGCACATTTAGGATAGCAGGTATGTATGTGCTTGGTCATTGTTTCTTCAGGGAAATTGTGTTGTGTGTGATGGCCGTGATGACCTTAAGGAGTACTCCAACATCCTCTCTGCAATGAAGGTTCTGATGTTTACTGACACCGAGAGCTGGGAAATCTCCAAACTACTTGCAGCCATCTTGCACATTGGTAACCTGCGCTTTGAAGGTGAGCCAGCAAGAGGGCACCAGAGCCAGTGGGGCAAATTTGAACCTTTGGGATGGCCATCCTATGGCACAGGTCTGGCCCACCAAATTCACTACTAACTCTCACCAGACTGTGAGTAAATTGTTACCAGTTATCAAGAAATTATGTCGGAAAAAAAAAAATCTCCATTTCTCCACCACTCGGAGGTAAATTTTTTTTGTCTTATAAATTGTTCTGGTATAATTAAAATCATAGTTATGTTATTACTGAGTCAATGTTTTGTTTAAAAAATTAAAATGCAATTGTTAAAGTAATGGAATGAGCTTCATTTATTATTAAAAGTATACCCCAGTCAGTGATTTTTAATATTGTAATTTTCTGTTTGCCCATTCATCTCTAGCCAGAATGCATGACAACATGGATGCCTGTATGGTGCTGTGCTCTGTGAACCTCACTACTGCTGCTGCCCTGCTGGAGGTCAGAGTTCACCGCATTGTTTTAACTGACTTTTCAAGAAGCTTACAGGTTGTTAGAAACCAAAGTAAAAGTCAAAATCATTTTCTGTAAGGAACTTGGTCCCCTGTGAAGAAATTCTCTTCTATTTTGTGTATTTCTTGACAGTTTCAAGATTTCTCTTTTAACTCACAACATCTTACAAAAATATACATGACAGCATTTTAGAATGAAGTATTTTTCATGTAATTAAATAACAACTCAGACCTGGCTGGTGCCTCCTTGTCTTCTCATGCATTTGGATTTTTGCATGACGAGATAATTCATCACGCCATGTTTATTTAGATATTCTGAAGGCTTTGACATTGTTCAAATGGGCACTTTTATGAAATCATAATTGGATATGTAAAAGGTATGGTCCTGTTAGCAAATGTTATATGTGAAAAGATTAAATTGTGTGGTGGTTTCCATGGTGATGGTTCTCTGGGACTAATCCAGCAGGCTGGGTACATACAGTAGATTGTCATAACTATTAGTTATGTACCAGTGAGTCAAGTACCAATGAATTCATTTTTTATGCTTTGCTATATATTCAGAGAGAATTATCTTGCAAATATCGCTCTGTTGTTCATATTTTTATATTTTTAGAATACTTATGATAAATGGGGCTACAGCTTTCGGTTTTATGAGTCATTAAGTATTATTGGGCTGCCTAATTTTTATTCTCAAGTCTATAAAAGACCTGATGCAGTCTGAGATTTACAAATGGACTATGACCACTCCTTAAATGTATGCAGGACTGCCCCCTAGTGGCCAGTTTTGGAACATTAATCCCCCTTCCACTCCCTGCTTCAAAATAATGCAATTTGCACCAAGAAGGCTATACAGCTGAGTTACACAGGGCTTCAACCTCAAAACATAGCTTTCAACAACTCATTGACAGTGTGTATTAGATTTAAAGTAATTTGGAACTTATTATATGGTTACATTATTGATCTCTGTGGAGGTTATCTTTCATAGAGGTTATATATAGCTGGCTTGTAAGACCTTCCTGTCCTGTTGTCTACAAATCACATGGTTAACAGATCGCAGCAGTATGGGTTGTTGTACAGTGCGAGTGGCTGTAAATTGCCTGCTCTGATGTGTTGCTATGTAGGTGGACCCTGAGGAGGTGATGAGCTGCTTGACCAGCAGGACCCTCGTCACTCGAGGAGAAACTGTATCAACTCTCCTCAATGTGGAGCAGGGGCTGGATGTGCGCGATGCTTTCATAAAGGTTATCTCCTCCATCCTCCTAAGGATCTGTGAGCGACTTCTGTCCTACATCTTTATGAACCCAAGGGAGAATATGTCAGACCTGAAATATGAGCTTGTGAAAATCAGTTGTACCATAACTGGGTTCAGTTCCAAATTATGTTACAGATCTGAAGTCATTTATCACCATTATTTCCCATTAGCAGTGAACCTAGAACCTTTTCATTCTCACATCTTAGGGAATTTATGGAAGATTGTTTGTATGGATCGTGGACAAGATTAATGCTGCCATCTATAAACCACCCCCCAGTGACTGTAAATACATGCAAACATCCATCGGCCTGCTGGATATCTTTGGGTTTGAGAACTTTGTTATTAACAGGTATACCATCATTTTCAAGTCTAGATGAGATTTCTTAAATATCAAGGAACTTAAAGAACTGAAATATATTTCTAAATAGCTATAGATGGGTTGCAAAGCTGACCGATTTGCATCTTTGAAGCGGATACTTATTGCAGTTTCAAATCCCTTATTTAATTCATTGATGACTTGCTCCCCTGATCATTGAACTGTTGTGATTGACTGTTCTTACCCTCAGTTTTGAGCAACTGTGCATCAACTTTGCCAACGAAAACTTGCAGCAGTTCTTCGTGCACCATGTGTTCAAGCTTGAGCAGGAGGAGTACAACCTGGAGGGCATCAGGTGGCAACACATCGAGTTCACCGACAACCAGGATGCCCTCGACATGATCGCCATCAAGCCTATGAACATCATTTCTCTCATTGATGAGGAAAGCAGGTTTCCAAAGGTGCCGTCCAAGGGGGCCTGGCTTTCTCTTCAAATCAGTCTGCTTTACTTTGCAATTAGAAGTCAAATCTTAAAATAATTAATCTCAGATCATCTCTGAAATGTCAGATTATTCATTTTTCTATTTCTGGAGTTTACATGTTCTCCCCATGTCATGGGGTTTCTTCTGGGCTCTCCAATTTCCCCCCCCCCCCCCCACAGACCAAAAACATGCTAAGGTGAATTGGAGTTACTAAATAATTCATGGGTGTGAATGTGTGTGCATGTGCCTTGCGAAGGGTTGGCGTCCCGTCTAGGGTTATTCCCTGCCTTGTGCCGGACCTTCCATAATCTCCCATGTGGCCCTGCACAGGAAAAGCTGCTATAGATGATGAATGTCGTATTCCCATTGTCTAATTAATCCTTTTGTTTTGACGAAATGTTGTCATTCATGCAAACCTGGCTTCTGCGCGGTACAGCTGACATTGTCAGGTCCGCATTCTAACCACGATTATAGAAATATTTTCACTAATATAAAATCTATTGCTAAATTCTCCTTACTGGGGCCTTTTTCAGGGCACGGATGTTACCATGCTGAATAAGCTCAACTCCCAGCACAAGCTCAATCCGATCTATATCCCCCCCAAGCACAGCCGCGAGACGGTGTTTGGCATTCAACACTTTGCTGGCACTGTTTACTATGAGACTGCAGGTACTATGTATGGGATTTCCCTCCAATCTGCATGATATTTTTTATCTATCACATAATATCCTTTCAACTAACAACTGACTGAAGGTCTTCCATCAAAAACAGCAGTCAGCTGGAAGCAGCTTGTGGTTTATGTTACATTTTATTTATTTTTTGCAGCATTTGCAAACTCTAACCAAATAACATTTTCTTTTCCTGGAATATGTCCCTAGATATTCTATATACAATATGGATTTACTAGTATAAATATTTTCGTAGAGTGTTGCATTCTTTGACAGAATCAATGTGTTGTTCTTTTCTGGAGTTAGAGTGTTATGTAATGTTTTGTTATGCAGTTTCAAATTGTTGCGTTCCACATGACCCCCTAATTTAATTTGATTGGTCACGGCTTATATCTGGACACCATGCACAAAATTGGTTTGGTCTAGCTTGTCAATGCCACAAAGTCAATTATCTCACTGACTGGTCCCTCTGCACCATGCTGATAATTAAGTTAGTCACAGAGTGGTGTTCATTCATTTCCTCTGGGAAGGGAATGAAATGAATACATAATACAAAGTTCAAATGAAGTAAACTCTTCGACTTCTTTGTTTGAATCATTACATGCAGCTGACCTTCAAAAGCCACCAGAAATCTTATGCTTGATCTCTTACAGGCTTCCTGGAGAAAAACAGAGACGGTCTCCATGGTGACATAATCCAGCTGATCTACACTTCCAGCAATAAATTCATCAAGCAGATCTTCCAGACTGACCTTGCCATGGTGATGTACCATAGCTTGGAGGTCCTTAGTGATGCCGCATAGATTTTTGAGATCTTTTATTAGCTTAGCGATAATTTCTCAATGCTGTGTCTGTTATATCTTAATAGCCGAGCCAGAGATTCATCTATGTTCACTTTCTGTGTTAGCTTTGCAGGGAAGTATAATCAAACTTAACTAGGTTTTGTCTCTGACTGTAGCCACCAAGGGTATCTTCTACTGAAATTAGAAGATAAATGTGTTTTTTATGTCACAACACCATCAACTGCATCCTAGCACCAACTTGGTACTCCTTCTAGGTTCTGACATCACTTCCTATCTGACTACCTCCTATTCTTCAGCTGCGATAACTAGCTCACACGTGTTTTTTTTTTTTTTACTTACAGGAAATATCAGATAGCATATAAAACAGTTAACTCACAAAGAAGAAATTGCAAACTACACAGAAATAGACTCAGGTTTCCACCTTATACTATTTTTGTCATTGGAAAATTAAATTTAAATTATTTTTTCTGTGTGCAACTATGTAACCATGACCTTAATGCCTAAATACATTCCAGAAAAGATACAAAACAATAATAAACCATTATAGCCAATAAGTGAAAACTTGACATTTTCTGGGAATGTAGTTATGACTATTGGGAAGGGCTAGTCCTGTGTATCCCAGCTGCAAAGATAGTTCTGATCTATCTGTAACTTTGAGTGATCAGACATTGGTGGTGCCCCATGTGTTAGTTTATTGGTTGCATCCCTGCTTTGAAGTTGCCCCTGTCACAGTAAGGGGGAGGGAAAATCTGAAACACTGAGAAGGAAGTGAGAGAATCAGAAAAGCAGGCAGAGAAACAATAGTTTAGACTTTAGAAGGTGCATGCTAAATTATACAATATTTTAAATATGTATTTTCAATTAAATTTATGCAGCTCCACTGCTATACTAATCATAGGCATTTAGGAAGAGTCTATCTCAGGATTTGGATGAGGAGGACTGGCAGGGAATGGGCAATCTTTAAATGAAAAAAACCATTGAGATGGAAAAGAAAAGAGACTCAAATTAAGGGAAAATGAAGCTGGACAGAGAGGAAGAAAGGAGTGAATGATATAAAAGGAAGTGAAGCTCTCAATGTGTAACACACTTCCCTGCCTGCAGGGGGCAGAGACCAGGAAACGCTCCCCAACCCTGAGCGGTCAGTTCAAGCGCTCCCTGGACCTGCTCATGAAGACCTTAGGCGCCTGCCAGCCATTCTTTGTGCGCTGTATCAAACCTAATGAGTTCAAGAAGCCTATGGTAAGCCCACGACAATCCCTTGGCAACCGGCTGCCATAGTAACACTTCCCCTGGTACTCAGGAGTGTGGCATGGGTGTCTTACCTGTCCTGGGAAATGGGTGCTGCTGGAAGTAATGATGCAAGATGGGCCAATCCGCTATGACCAGGAAGTGACAAGGTGTTTCTGTTGGCTGATAATAATACTACACTGTAGCAACAAAATTGTAAAACTGTTATGCTGCTGCCGAAATACAGAGAGAAAGATGCTAAAGCATGGTGCAGGTGGAAAAAGAATAAAGGGAACTCAAGGGGTCAGATACAAAACAGGAAGAATAGGAGCTAACTAAAATGTAACCACGAAGTTAACCTGTCTTCTAGGGTGTAAAACTAGAAGCTAGACTGGATGATAATCACCAGCCAGCTTCAAACTCAGGACTGGAGAGGTACTGCTTTTGAGCCACTCACTCAACCCATACAGTTAGGCAGCAGTCCAGGGAGCAGGGAAACACACTATGGGCTGAAGGGCTACAAAACAGATGGGGGGGAAGCAGAATGATCAGCGATACCTGCTGGCCAAAAGGGGACAAGATACATAGCACAGGGTTGGACGGGCACTGACCCTGACAGAAACATACACACATATTCGAACCGAATGTGGAATTTTACACGTCTAACTTTTCTGACTGCTTTGCTCAGAAGTTTGTAGGCTTTTGCTGTTTCTGCCTCAGCCATCTGCACACCTGTATCTCTCCACTGTAGCTGTTTGAGCGGGTGCTCTGCATTCGGCAGCTCTGCTATTCTGGCATGATGGAGACCATCCGAATCCGCCACACCGGCTACCCTATACGCTACACGTTTGCAGAGTTTGTGGACCGCTACAGAGTCCTTGTGCCTGATGTCAAACCTGCCTTCAAACAGGTGAGGGAGTGCTGCCCCCTTGTGGTGTCACATGAAAGTGTTCTCAGCCTCTACACACATGGCATAATTAAGCACAAGTGACTCATAAGGGTCAGAATGAATTTACAAAAGCAGAACAACTTTTCTTTTATGATTTTTATTTTTCCCTGACTAAGGATATAGTTTAAGAATCCATGCTAGATCATGTTGAAATGTCCGCAGAATAGCCACAAGTAAGCAATAGATACCTCAGTGAAATCTATAACTTAATTCAAGAGCATTGCAGGAAATTGTTAATGAGTCACAGGGTCAGGTCAAAACCTGAGATAGCAGCTATGGTTATATGATGCTATATTCCTGGCCTTAAGTATCAAAGCTGTACAGTAAGGACGAGTCTAATGAACCGGCTTATTTGTACAGATACTGCCCTCTAGTGGACAATACCACCCAGACAATTATCAATTCCAGTGCAGCCAAATTCTGTTGAGAGTGAGTTTTAGCAGTGTTGCTATTGGAAAGGCAATTGATTGTCAAAAAATATGATTAACTTCGTCTGAAATTTTTGGATTTTTTTTTTTTGTAGATCACTATACAAGAATTGCACACATTTGCACTGAAACACACATTTTCCAACAGGGGAACATGAAAGTAGCATGTCAGTGCATCCTGGAGACCATCGTGGGGAGGGGTGAGGACTGGCAGATGGGGAAGACCAAGATTTTCCTTAAGGTCTGTTTCACAACCTTGTTGATATTTTCTGTCATTTGTTGCTTATTAGAAGGTGGCTGTGGAGGTAGCAGCATCACTGCCATATGCTTTTAGGGTCAGGGGGCAAATCCCACCTCTGCTTTGTACGTGTGTCTATTCTCCCTGTCTGATGGGGGTTTCCTCCCACTGGGTGTGTGTGACCTGTGGTAGACTTTCATTTTGTCCTTGGTGTACCCTAGCCTTGTGCTGCCTGGGATAGAAGCTGGGGGATAAGGGCCTTGCTTAGGACCCACGGACTTGTGTCTCTTCTGCCGGGATTGGAACAGGCAACCTTCTGATCAGTGGCGGAACAACTGCACACAAGGCCCCGGGGCAAAACACCGATCAGGCCCCCCCCCCCACGCACACACACGTGCACACACGCAGATGTATATGTGGTGGCACTGAGCTTTACAATGTTGGCGCAAGAACACAAAAAACTTCGAATTCGAGAATTCGACTGTCCCTCTCTGTGTAAAGTTTTAGTGGCTAAATTGCATTTTCTACGCCTTTTCAGACAGGAGGAGATTTGTTTGGCTATGCCTAGAAATCAACATTGTTACCAGTGTAGAGACCGTCACCGTTTTACCAAGGACAAAAATTCCACCTCCAGCTGCCTGCTCATCTCATCCATTTCTGTTGCAAAAATTACAGTGTACTGTCTAAGTGAATAGGGTATAGGTTAATTAGTGTGCACGCACCGTCTTTCTCATTCTGATTATATATGTCTATGCCTCCGGGTATAGCACATTCAAATGTCATGTAGTGTAGCCTTTTATGCAATTTAGACAGCACAGAATCATTAACCTACTTTAACGCATTTATTTAAGCAACCACATATTTCCCACATTTTGACATCAGTGATGCAGTGAATTTCCTGATGCCAACCCTCCCCATTAATCCGGGCTTGAGACCGGCACCTAGTTGAGCTGGCTTGCTCCCTTAAGTGGCTGGGTTAGGCTAAACTATATACCTATTTACAAAGACTACAATAAAACATCCCGAAATATGTAGTCTAGCAAAACGCAGTTTAAAGAAGGTAGCCTACCTGGAGAAACTGCAAACAAACAGAAGGCCTGCGGCATATAATAGCCTATTAGAATAGAACTTGCTCACAGTTTTATTTTTATTTTCCTTCCTCTTTTGTGCCCCACTTTTACTTTTAAACATGTTGAATTACTTTCTGGACCAACAAACGCAATTAGGCATGCACCTTCCTAGTCTTGATGTATGTCGTCAGACAGATGAGGACGTTAGGCAGCCTTTAGATCCTACCCATCATGCACTGGAGTTTTTTGCAAATTCCTCAAATGGAAAACCATTAAATACAAAAGGAACAGCTTAGTTTGACTTCAAAACATTACTATGTATTATAATTTAAGTTTGATGTATGGATTTTACAGATTTTAAAAAAATAAAATAAAATTACACCATACATAATAAGAATGTATACCAAAAATGACAGATATATAAAATCGTAAGTCACAATTAAAGTGTTGGTGATATATTCTAGCTGTCAAGAGCTTGGGAGAAATTATATCAGTATGGCTTAGTGTGTATTTAGTATATGAGACTTATGGCTGGGGGGAGGGGCCTCTATGATCCAGGGGCAGTGGCCCTGCCCCCCCTGCCCTTAGCTCTGCCCCTTCTGATCACAAGCACAGAGGTTTAACCTGCTGAGCCACATGCTGCACCCAAGTGTTTGGATGGATGAAGCCTATGAATCTCTAGATGTCATAAGAAACCAAATTAAAATAAAACAAATAAAGTAAGAAGTATGAACGACCACAGGCACAGTAGGGGCATGGAGACCCTGGCAGATTGAGGGAACCCAGCACTTTACAGGGGCTCTTGAATATATAAAATGATATAATGTGGGGCCCAAGGTGACATTTTGTCAGGGGGGCAAGAATTTCCAGCTCCACCCCTGTGAAGAACCGAGGAAGTTTCGTGACCTCGTTCGCTTCATCTCGTAGGATCACCATGACGTGCGGCTGGAGATGGAGCGCGACACGGCCATTACATGCAAGGTCATCCTCATCCAGAAGGCTGTGCGGGGCCTCAGAGACAGGTGAGGTTAAGATGAATCCCTGAGTTTGCAAAACTACAGACTAAGCAAATCCACAGACTAAGCAAATCCACAGACTAAGTCAGAGATGTCAGGTACACTTAACACATGTTAACGTGGTAGTATCATAACTGCAGCAATATCAATGGTCATGTTTCTGCAGATCCAGATTTCTCCAGATCAGGGATTCTGTGATACTGATTCAGAAAATCTGGAAAGGCCACCACTGCCGAAAGAATTATAGAACGGTAAGGTCCTGTGTGTTTTTCTGTGTAACTATTGTCAGAATTCCACTGTCTCCATGATTATTGTATGTTTTCCATGTTCCACTGGGATCCCATGTTCTTATATTTTCTGGGATCCACAGTCTCATGGCTTATTAATCATCCTTTGTATTCATTTCTATCCTCGGTCATCAAGTTCTAAGCACAGCTGTCTCTGTCTGGCAGATGCAGATGGGTTTTCTACGGCTCCAGGCCGTCTATCGATCTCGCAAGGTTTACCGAAGCTACAGCGCTGCACGGAGAAGCATCATGGTCCTGCAGGCATGGTCTCGAGGCCTCCTAGTGAGACAGGCCTTCCGGCATCGTCTGAGGGCTGTCATCACCGTCCAGGCCCACGCCCGTGGCATGCTCACTCGCAGGCTGTGCCAGCGGCTCAAAACTGAGGTATGCTATCTCCATTGGCCTGGATGTTTACTCATGAAGCACTACTGGAGAGGAAATAAACCCGTATCAAGTGGTCTGGTAGGACTTAAATCCATTTCCTTTTCCACTACGATGATTCTATTGTTAATAATTTATCTTCTGGAGAATTGTTTACATTGTTTAAGAGCAGAGGTGGAAAGTTCAAGTACAGAAAGTACAAATCCAGAACAGGGTTTTGCTTTAGCCAACTAGTTGATAGCACTCAGCTGGTTGGTTGAAACAAACCCTTGGTCTGGATTTGTACTTTCTGGACCTGAACTTTCCACCTCTGTTTAAGTGGCATCCCATGTCTGCTCCTTCCTTTTCTTGCAGGGTCGCCCACCTCCGGAGGAGAAAGAGCGCCTCTTGCTGGCCGAAGACGTATGGTGGCCTAGAGAGGCAGTGGTTGTGCAGCAGGCCTGGGAAGATGACGAACAGCTGACCGGCCCATGTGCCATGCAGGAAGAGGAGGCACGAGAAGAAGCTTGCCCCAAAAAGGGGGTGCTGTTGCAGGGGAAGTCGGTCCAGCAGGATCCAGTCAGTGACTCGGATGTGGTGGATGAAGTGTTTGGATTCCTGGGGTCTAATGGTACCTTCCCTGGGCAGGAGGGGCAGGCCCCCACAGGGTTCGAGGTAATGAGGCAGGGCACCACTATGCTTAACTCCAATTAATGCACCGCCAATGCTAATAAATTGATTATGCTTTTGGCTAAGGCCTCCTTTCTGAAAGTAGAAAATTAGAAAGGAAAGGAAGTCCCTGTACTGTAATCAGGGATACACAAAAATGTGGCTGGGTCCCTGAATAATTTGGAAACACTTTGTTTAGATATCTTCATAATGCATTATAATGGTCAGTACAAGAATTAAGGATGCCTTATACTGCATTATGAAGGCACTTATAGTGCATTATAGATGAGAGCTTCATAAAGCATTCATAATACATAATAAACATAGTTATAATGTGTTATGCCTTTTTATAAATAGTTATAGCCGTGTTTAAGATACTTTATGAATGCATTATAGTGCATTATGAAGGTATCTATAATGCATTATAGATGACTGCTTTAAGTAAAGTATTGCCAAAAATTCTACCAAATGGGCCCCTCCCTTCTCCAAACCAAGGCTACCATTACCCATTCTCACACACTCATGAGCCCCCCCTAGTGTCCAGACTGAAAATATTCCCCTTTCTCCCCAATTATGGACAGCCCTGACTAGAAGAGGCATTCTGTATCATTCACACGTCATCACCAATTTAACTGACTGCCATCTGTCTATTCAGTATAATTTGTGTTATTTTACTCATGCCAACTTAAATTTGAGAGCCGTTTTGTGTCCTGCTGTGGTGTGCGTGTGTGCGCCTCTTCCTGCGCGCGTGTGCGTGGCTCTGTGCGTGCGTGTGCGTGTATGCCCACGTGCGCGCACGCACACAAATGCACCAGGACCTGGAGCGGGATCCAGGGAAGGCCGAGCAGGTGGAGGAGGTGGACATGGCCAGAGTTCTCCCTCTCCCTGTGGCTGAGGAGGAGGACCTGTCGGAGTATAAGTTCGCCAAGTTCGCCGCCACATACTTCCAGGGCAGTGCCACGCCGTGCCACACGCGGCGCCCCCTCAAACTGCCACTTCTCTTACATGAAGACGAGGGAGACCAGATGGTACTTAACCAGCTCCTGACCAGTCACATTGTCACTGCCTAGTTTACCTCAATTGCAATGGGCCATTCCCTAAAAGATGTAGCATCTTACTTATCTTTAAATGACAATAAAAGTCCTCATATCTGGCAAAGTAGGGAGCAAGGCACTGCCGGTATTTTCCAGATAGTTGAATGTTACTCTAGTAACACATTTCTTACACTTTTTAATCCTTTTATACTAGGGTGACAAGATAATCCATGTCAGGGAGGACACTTTGAACTAGGACTGGATTTGTAAACTACTATTTCAATCAAAAGATCAGTCAATGATCAAAGATTGGTCAATGTCCTATAATACTGCATGTGTCACTAATAATGTGAAACAGCTGGATGAGTCTTTCAAACCAATCAGCACAAAAAGAACTGGACTATTTAGCCAAGCACAGGAACCATTTAAAGTAGTTTGCCGAAGTAGCTCAAAGTGTCCTCCCTAACAAGGATTATCTGGTCACCCATATTTTATACATACATATTAATGATTATTGTGCTGCCAGATATTCAATAGACAGGAGATTTCATGGTAAACGACAGCAGAACAAGCAGAAAGAGGACTAAAGCACGCCACTCTGTAGGCAGGAATAGGAACAAGCATTTGTATGCTGCAATGCTTTTCTTTGTTTTTTTTCAATAATTTTAATAGAATGGTGTTATTATTTATGATAAATTATAAAATTTTTGTACTGATATTTTAGAGTTGTCGGTTGCTTGAATGCTGGATACGAGAGCTTTCGCTGTATTATTTATTTATTTATTTGCAATGCACATTTTTGTTCTTCATTTTTTAACATACTTTGCTTTAAATTTGCAGGCAGCCTTGGCCATCTGGATCACGATACTGAGGTTCATGGGTGATCTTCCGGAGCCCAAGATCCACACTGTCGTCAGTGATGGCAGCGAAAAGATTCCCGTCATGACGAAAATCTACGAGACCCTCGGGAAGAGGACGTATAAGCATGAGCTGAAGGCCCTGCAGGGAGCTGAGGAGGTGAACGGGCAATGTGGTGTAACTGGGAGGGATGAGAAAGACCCATCAAGGGTCCAGCTGAGTCATTTTAGTGGGTGTTATATTGTCAGAGCAGCTGTGAGCTCTCACACTGCAGACCAGATTTGTTTTGAGCATAAGTATGTATCTAAGCTGAAGGTAACAGAGAACCGTCTGTTTCTGGTGAGTAGCAGGCATGGTAGCTAGTGGATACTTACGTAGCTTCAAATATGCTGGCATGTCTGTCTCATTTCTGCCCCAACTGTGTGGAGTTTGTGTGTTCTGTCCATGTACATGTTGATTAGGTACTATGGTTTGGTGCCACCAAAGCAGTGTTTCTCATGCCAGTCCTTAGAAGACCCCAGACAGTCTGTACCTAATCAACCAGGTCATCAATGTTCTTGATTGGCTGGGAGCCAGGAGGGAGGAAAAATGTGGATTGTCTGGGGGTCCCTGAGAATTGGCTTGAGAAACACATATCTGAAGACGTGCATTATTTGTGAACCAGTGTATATAAATTGCCCATCACACCACAACCCTGTACTGGATAAGCAGGGAAGTACCCACTGTGTGTGATAGCACGTCTTGTGACTGGAGTAACTTACTTTGACCCTGTATTGGATAAACTGATATAGAAAGTGGATGGTAAATAGGTTCCCAACTTTTAGTTTTCGTGGTCCTTTTTATTTTAGTCAACATTTTTATCTCCAAAGCTGCAAAAATTGTGCAATTGTATTTATGCATCCCTGAGGTGATTCATGCACATCTCAAAGTACTGATATCTCTTGTGGTCTTAATCAGCAACAAATGATCCTCTAATTAATGCAGCTTATTCCGCAGCCTTATAATAAGCCCCTCTGCCTCACAGAGCACTGATGTTGTAAGCCACCGTCGAAACACTGCGCGACACAAGCTAGTCTCCCTCACTCTAAAGAGGAAGTCAAAGATCACGGTGGAGGTGAGAGCCAACACTGTTAAGCATGGTTTACCAACGCTTCTAAATAAAGAACAGGTAACCTTCAGGGGTAGAAATTTCAGGTCCAGAAAGTAAAAATCCAGACCAAGATATTATTTCAACCAACCAGTTGAACATAAAGAGTCAAAGTCACAGAATGCTCACTTGGTTGGTTGAAACAAAATCTTGGTCTGGATTTTTACTTTTTGGACCTGAAATTTCCACCTCTAGTAACCTTTGACTAAAAAATACATTGACCTATTATAGTTTGAGTATTTATATGGGGGATGACACATGGGTTCATGGAGACATTTCCTGTTTGTACTCCAGGTGATCAGGCTTCTGAACGACTTTGACTACAGCGCTCCAGAAAACAGCATGCTGGAGGAGCGGCCTACCTCCAACCTGGAGAAGCTGCACTTTATCATTGGCAATGGCATTTTGCGGCCTGCCCTCAGGTGAGCCAAACACTTAAGATCCATGACTTACTCTAAATATGCTACCAATACAAATCAGTGGAAGTGGAATAGAGCATGTTGTCTTTGGAATTAACAGAGCATTGTACAGAAATGTGTATTCTTCCTCTCTAACTGAAGGTGTCGAATGATCTTTATAATTCATCAGCATGTATTGTCTTTAATTGAAGAGCAAATTTACAAAACTTACTCCGTCCATGCGATACTTTTTTGAGAAAATTTCTTTGGGCTTAGTGAGTTTTGGAAATATAATGAAAGATCTTCATTGGATTACATAAGGACTGAGTGACTTTTGGTTCTCAGCACTGTCTCATCTCAAGAACAACAACAAACGGACTGAGTTCTAAAAATTTGCTCTTCAGTCACATCTAACGTATGTGATTTTCCCATTGTCTTACACAAAATTCCAAAAAGATGTCTGTCTGCATCTGTAGCTGTGAATAATACATTCTGTATAGTAGATATAGACGGTCTTTCTGACTACTACAGAATTTGCAGAATGCTAGATTGTGCAGTGAATGCGTGAGTATGATATTATGCAGTGACCCTCTTCTTTTCAGAGATGAGATCTACTGTCAGATCTGCAAGCAGTTGACCCAGAACCCTTCAAAGGCCAGCCACATACGCGGATGGCTGCTCATCTCACTTTGCGTTGGTTGCTTTGCACCCTCTACAAAGTTTATAAAAGTATGACATCACTAGCACACACAGGATATTTCACATACCTATTTCATTTTTCTGTTTGGTTCTTCATCCCCCTTTTTCATTAGGAAGCATAATTTGTGCAAACTGTGTGTTTCTCTTAGTCTATGAGTTCCACCTGTCTTCTGTGCAGAGGTAAATATTTCAAGTTCAGAAATTAAAAATCCAGACCAAGATTTTGTTTCGATCCACCATGCTGTTGAGTATAATAAGTCACAGTCACAGAGTACTTAACCTGTTGGTTGAAACAAAATCTTGGTCTGGATTTTTACTTTCTGGACCTGAAATTTATACCTCTGCTCCACTGTCCTACAGTATCTGCAGAACTTCATCAACACAGCTCTTCCTGGCTATGCCCTTTACTTGGAAGACCGGCTAAGAAGAACTGCTATGAATGGGACTCGGGCCCAACCACCATCTTGGCTTGAACTACAAGTGAGCTTCACTTCTCCACCCTCTTCCTCCTCTAACTCTAAGTGCCTGCACATTCAGTGTCAAAGTCATTGTCTGAAGTTTCTGACAACCCACAAAACCAGGAGAACCTGGGTCTCCTCGTTTATTTCAACCCTTTGAGTCATTTGAGTCTTTTCCACTAAATCTTTTAACCCTCAATTTAGTGATGTGCATTTCAGGCCCAGCAAGGACAAATCCAGACCAGGATTTTGTTTCTACCAACCACTTGAGTACTATGATTCTTTATACTCCAGTAGTCAGTAGAAACAAAATTCTGGTCTGGATTTGTACTTGCTGGACCTGAAATGCCAAACACTACCTCAATTTCAATTCCAAAATTCTTTAATAGTGATGATGATGTTTTTGTCGACTCATAAATTTAAACTCTGAAAGCTTAAGAACATAAGAACATAAGAAATTTACAAACGAGAGGA